TTAAAGACCATAGTGACCATGTCCAAGCCAGAGGAAAACAGCTGCACAGCAAAAGCCTTTGCTACGGCATCATTTTCCAGTAATTAGTATTTCTTTCTTTAGTGCAATAATGAAGAAATTGACGGAACTCTAGAACTAAGGGTTAAATCTGGTATGCTACCAGACCAGGGGTAATTGGAACTAAGCACTTCACATGTGTTCTCTGATTGTATAGAAAAGCACTGTAGGAGATAGCTACTAGTATTTGTGTCATTCAATAAAAACTAAGAATGTTGGTGTAAAGGGTGGTCAGCACGTTTTTACAGATAGTGAATCTTAGAGTATGAAAACCAATTTTTCTAACCTCTAAGCCAAGCTTCTAAAATTTAAGTGAATCCCAATGATCTCATGTGATGCACGCCATTCCAGCAATGACAGTCATTCCGCAGCCTTATGAGATAAGCACAGCAAAGAATAAGATTAATCTGGTCTCTTTTTTTTAAATGTAACCACAAAGGACCAACATGCCTACTTGCCTGGCAGTAACAGAAAGATGGTAAGAGAGAAATCCTTAAGTCAAAAACCTGACTTTAAATAAATTATATGCTGACTCACATATGCAAGTGAAAGTCTCTAGAGTCAAAATGTTGAAGCTGTAGATTCCTCTTCAAAAAAAAAAAACTACTAGAGTCTACCATGTACATAAAAAAAAAAAAAAATTTTATGGCTTTCAGAAACTATGAGTCATTTCAGAATTGAAGGTTTGGGGGCAAGTGGATGGCATGGCAGGTGAAGGCAATTGCCATGCAAGCCTGATGACATGAATTTGATCCCAGAACCCAAGGTGGAAGGCTGAAAATCTCTCTCTCTCTCTCTCTCTCTCTCTCTCTCTCTCTCTCTCTCTCCCCCATATGAAAATAAAAAATTTTGAAAATGATTACAAATTGGACACCAAATGAATTTATTTCTGTGCAATAAGAATGATCAACATGAAAAAGATATTAAAGAATTTCACCTATAGCAGCATCAAAAAAGAATATTTAAAACAAATTTAATCAAGAAGATAAAAATTTTTCATATTGAAAACTATAAGACATTGTTGAAAGTAATTAAAAATAACACCAAAAAATGGAACAGCATCTTATGTTCATGTATGGAGGACAATATTGTTAAACT